TCTATCTAAGCTTTATACGTGAAAATATATATATAAAAAAAAAAAAAAAAAAAAAAGAAAAAAAAAATAAAAGAAATATAGAAATGCAATTAGAAAATTACAAAGATATTATCTTTTATTCATATCGGATATTTACTTGATATGTTAATCAAATAAACATATCAAAGATTTATACAATACACATTTTTCAAATATCCACGTATTTATGTAAAATTCGCATCTATATATTAAATGTTGCACATAGATATGTGTGTGTGTATATATATATATATATATATATATATATACATATATTTATCATCCATCATATAAAGTATTCTAAGAAAACAAAGAAACATAAGAAAAGTATCGAATAAAAAAAAGTTATGTTCTCCGGAGAATCAAAATCCGTCTTTCTTCTTTCTTGAAACTGAGAGACTAGCTAGCTATTCGGTAGAACGAATTCATGAGCGTTTTTATTCCGGAAATAAAAATCTCTGGCACACTTGGCACTCTTTCATCTTCCGATGGGCGCGACCAATCGTGAATATTGCTGTGGAATCGAATTTTTTTTCAAGCTCTACTCCGTGAGAGGAATTAATGGGGCTGACCTATAGATAGTCCAACTTATACGACTCCTCTCGAGGATATGAGATTAACGTAAGAAATCGGCTCGGCCGAGAGAGAAATGCTCCTTTCTGATTGGATACTCTTTAATAAGGGCGGCAGCCATTTTACGAGTCCATTCACTGGAAGAAATAACTTCGACTCGATTTCGAGAATCGTACTTTGGTAATTGCCCCTCGCAAATAATACCTACAGAATATGCTACAGAACACGTTTTCTTCGACAATGTAAAACTCGTTTAAATCTACGTACAAGCTGAAACATTCGAATTAACGAGAAAGATCTATATTCCATTTCGACGAAAATATCGGCTGTTTCGTAATCATAGTGTAATATTGACCCTTTCGAATTTCGTTCATTGCAAATTTTAATGAGAATTCGTAAGAGAGAAATATTCTTTCGTACTTACGCGTATAGACTTTTAACCACCTGTAATTAAACATTACGCGTATAGACATTTAATCCCTTTAATTAAATGACTTCTTTTTTTTTCTTTTCTTTTCTTTTCTTTTCTTTTCTCTTTTACAACGACATACGAAAGAAAATATATTTAATCTTTTTACAAATATCGACAAAAAATGAAATTTATTGAATATATCAATAATGAATCATCAGAGATGATCTAAAGAATTCAATAATATTATAATAGTATTTAATAATATGAATGTCTTGAAGAAAAGAAACGTTAAAAATTTCTTATTTGCTTTTGTCATGCATTGGCCAACAAAATTCTATGAAACGAGACTCCCTTACTAAATATATTCTACCCCTCACGTTCGTACGTTCCCAGTAAGAACGAGTATTTTTCCGTGTCTCTTCGTCCCTCTTCTCTACCGTTACACTTAAATTCTCTTTCCTCTTTTTCCTTTTCTTTTTTTTTCTTTTTTTTTTTTTTTCTTTCTTTCTTTCTTTTCCATCTGTATCTTTGCGCCATGCTTGCGGCGAAAGAACGAATCTAGGCACGTTCTACTCGCTCGCACGTAAAAAAAAAAAAAAGAAAAAAGGGCGACACAAGCCAGCAAAAGAGACCAGAGCAATCACGTACTTGTGTTTGGAAAAGGGGAAGAAAGAGAGAAAGAGGAAGAGTGAGAGAGAGAGAGAGAGACAGAGAAAGAGAGAGAATTTCTGGTCGTTCGTTAAGACGCCGACGTAAGAAACGCGAACGACGACCGGACGACAACGGAGTGACAGTAACGTTCCGAACGATCGTAAAGCTAGCTTAATTAGTGAGACCCACTTAAACGTTTAGCTTCTGGTAAAGAATACAAATCCATAGAATGAATCACAGATGTATATATATATATATATATATATATATATATATATATATATATATATATATATATATGCTCGTAAGCTCTGTAATTTGAGTGTTATAGGATCTTATCAATTTTGTTATTCCTACAATTTCAATGGCAATTATTTCAAATGGCCATTATACGAAGGATTTGATTATGTAAAAGTATTAAATTACACATATAATACGTTTGTATTATTAAAATTTATATCGAATAAAATTACGTATATCGATTTATTGATTTAGGTCACATTTGCGATAGCGATAAGAATAAGAATGAATATTTTAAAAATATATAAAACATATTACAAGAATAAATTATACCGTTCAATCTTTGCACGGAAATGTTCTTTCGGAATATAAAAGGAATCGTAGAATCTACACGTATTTATATTCGACTTTGAAATACGCTCATATTCTTTCCCCCTCTCTCTCTCTCTCTCTCTCTCTTTCTTGCACAAGGTAACTGATATTGTACAATGTACATACATAAACGTTGGAAGATAAAGAGACTTAAGGAAGAGATAGAGAAAGAGAAAGAAAGGGAAGGATAAAAAATGAAGAACGAAACAAGAGTTTAATGCGATAAGGAGTCAG